GCCGGGGTACGCGCTCCCCCGCCTGGGTTTATCGGGTGCGCTGCTGCGGCACCCCCGGCTCGCCCCCCGGCGCTCTCAAGCAGTTCTTGCCACCGGGAACCACTGGGGCTGCGGCCTCGGCCGCGGAGTATGGTTTCCGCAAAGAGAGGGCGGCGCTGGAGCAGCTGCAGGGTCACCGGAACATCGGTAATTGCCGCTGTCTCTCATCGCTTCTCGCCCTGGTCCCAGTCCAAGCGTCTGCTTCCTCCGTCTGCCTGGCGGGACGTCTTGTCTGTAGGCGGGAGGAGCGGGGCTGGCCCCATCACCCGGTCCAGGCAGGCCCCGGTTCATCCCCCTTCACTTTATTGCTGTCCGCGATACCGTGCAGTTCGGTGGTCTGCTTTGCCCAGGCACATAGTAGCTGCTCATTAAGTTCTGCTTTTCGGAGGATGCCGAACTCATTAGCATAGAGAAGTATCTTCTATAGTGCAGAGAGGCATGGCTTTACCAGACTTATCAAAGTCTTCTGTGTAAATTTTTGAATCTTTGCATACCAGTAGAAAGTGGGAAATATTTCTAGGACTTGTTACTTAAATGCTAATAATCCATAAAGGTAATATCATATAGGTGCTATTTAGTGTGAATTTGGAAGAAATGACTCAGTATTCCATAGGGATCCTTATGGAAGTGTGGAATTTAAGAATACTTTACACTATGCTCTTACAAGTTTATGTTTCATGACTCAGGTATTCAGAATGTAAAATATACAGTGATCACTGATGCGGAGTCTGTAAAAACAGTCTTGTCATTACAGCAGCAAAAAGATTATAATTAGTTACAGCTTTAGTTAATATAAAAAGTATTTTTTGGCAAGTGTAATTTAAAAATACTATTTTGGTGAAGAATTTGTTAACGTTAGGGCTGCATTTTTTTTTTAAGCTTGCTAGGTGGTGTATCATTATAACCTTGAGGTTGAAGAAGAAAAATTTTGCAGGCCTAAGGACTTGTTGAATCTCTAAGATCAGGTTAAAGTGCTATCTGGAAAGTCTTAATCTCTTTTAATATTTAGATATTAAGTGCTGTTTTGGTTCAAGAAGCATTTTTCAGTTTGGTTTTTGCACATTACAACATTCTAAGAGAGTTTCTTAGGATTTTTTTTTTTTTTTACTTGCCAGAGGGCACATGGAGAAAGTGGACCCCAGTGGGACATGGTCACACCACAATCACTGTTCCTCATTTCTCCATCCTGCCAGGATTTAGGGCACACAGGAGCCTACAGTGTTTTTCAAGCCACCTTGGCCGGCCAGTATTTGAACTGTGGTCAGCCATGTGGGATCTGGCTCCGTAAACATGGCAACTACTAGTTTACAGGGTCCTTCCTGGTTTTTATGTAGAATCATTTTTGCTTGGTACCTAGGTGCATATTCATTCACCACTGACTACCTGGTGAAACACAGTTTGAGTCATCAAGCTGTGTTTCATATCTTCAAATGATAATAATCAGCTTCTGAAAGCCGTCTCGTTTTATTAAAGTAACCCAGTTGCCCTATTTTTTTTTTTCACAAGAAAAAGAAATTGCAGTGGAAGCTTGCTCACCAAAATTGTCCTTAATTTGTATTGCAGAGTAATCTACTTCAGTAGCAATTACTATGATCTTTCAGGTGTTACTGTGTGCTTTCTTTTCTAGTGACTCTGTACGGAGTCTTTACAATCCACTTCTCTCCAAACGTGCCATCACGCTGTCTGCTGCTTGAACTCCTGGATGTCAGTGTTTCGGAGTTGCTTTTATATTCCAGTCATCAGGGTTGTTCCATGTGGATGATACAGCATTGTGCCAGAGATGTTCTGGAGGCCCTTGCTTTCCTTCATCACGAGGGTTATGTCCACGCGGACCTCAAACCGCGGAACATACTGTGGAGTGCAGAGAATGAATGTTTTAAACTCATTGACTTTGGACTGAGCTTCAAAGAAGGCAATCAGGTAAGAAATACCCTTTCTTTCCCCTCATAGTTTAAAATCTAATAGTCTCAGCCAAGTCTCTTTAAATAACAAGGGTAATTTGTTAGGAATTAGGAGGCATCTCTGTTGGAAATAGTGAACTGCCTGGGAATGAGGCAAATCAAATGAATTTCAATGCCACCATATAAAAAAATGATTTGTCTTTCAGTCAGGTAGAAGGTGCTAACAAAGCCCGAGAGGGCTCTGGAATTATTAAAAGTACGTAACCTAAAATCAGGTGCTTTCTTTATTCTGTGAGCGTTTGGTTAATTGCTGAGTTACTGTTCCTGGTGTCTTGTGCCCGGTCTTGTGGCAGAATGCATGTGACAGTTCTGGCAAACTCTGCATTCTCCTTGGTGTATCAGCCCTTTGCAGAGTGTCCTTGTTTACCAGCAGTGCCTGATAGGCAGGAGACTATGTAAAGAAGACTTCTTTTTGAGCAGCTGCTTGGAAACTATACTGTTTGCCTGTGAGAACTGCCCAGTTAGCAAACCGAAGAGTTTTGGTAGCCAAGGACTTAAGGTTGTTGGCACCCGCTTAGGCAGTGGTTTCCTTCACTGTGAGAGAGACACGCAGTCTGTGGAGATGGATGGAAACGAGCAGCTTTTTGTTGGTTGTAACGTTTACACATCTTCTTTAGGATGTAAAGTATATTCAGACAGACGGGTATCGGGCTCCAGAAGCGGAACTGCAAAATTGCTTGGCCCAGGCTGGCCTGCAGAGTGATACAGAATGTACCTCAGCTGTTGATCTGTGGAGCCTCGGAATCATTTTACTGGAAATGTTCTCAGGAATGAAACTGAAACATACAGTCAGATCTCAGGAATGGAAGGTAAACAACGGTACTTTGCCTTGGAGCCCTCAGTCCCAGGTTAAGGATATTCAGTCGATGCCATTCTTATTGAGGGCTGGGGTTGCTTCCTCTCCTCCATATTCCTCCTTCAATATTTGTGGGACTTTAAATGCCTCTGCCCACTTTCATGGCTGCAGATGTGTTGGTGACCATTGCACCCTCACTGTTCCTGGCCGGGGGCCTGGCACGTAGTACGCGCTTGATAAAATTATTTGAGTGAATGCATTTTCCCAAAGAAGCCAAAGTGATATATTTTGTTGGTAATTTAGTTTTTCTTTTCTTTTCTTTTTTGGAGAGGTTTTCTCTATAGGGCGCATGCGCTTGCCAGACAGACAGAGAAATCACCTCCCAGGAGGGATGGCCACGCCACAATCTCTTCTCCTCCATTCTCCTCTCGGGATCCTGGGCACACACGCACACGCACCTGGCGTGAGTTTTAAGCCACCGGGTCCGGGACATGAACCACGGTCAACTACGTGGGAGTCCAGCGACATAGCCATTACGCTAACTGTTGGTTCCTGTATTTTAGTTTTATTAGGTCCTCAAGTACAGTTATTAAAACCATAGGTTATAGGTTCAATGATAATCCTTCCATAATGCTTTGCAGTTACAGTATTTTAATGCACAGTGTAATTGAACTCTCCCAGCAATTCTCTGAGGAAAATGGATATTAGTTGTTTTGCCTGGCAAATGAAAAGCTGGAGGCACAGATATGTAAAGCAGCTTGTTCCAGATCATACAGCTGAATGTTCTGTAGTCGGGGCCCAAGTTCTGCGCCTCCTACTCAGTGTTCAGTGTTCTTTCTGCATTCCACACTGCTTCACATTTATATTCCATGTATGAGTATGGCATATGTTGGGTCATCAGACAAGTCATGATGCACTTTTGCAGAGAAAAACATAGACAGATACGTCTTGACTTTTCCGACGACCCAGTAAGTCACTGCTGTTGCCTGTCTATGCAGACATGGACTCTTAAGTTCCAGCTACTTCTGACTTGTTAATAAACTTTTTGTATATTTTTAAGTTAGGAGTTAACTGCAGTGTGTTTTCAAACACGTGGAACTTTTATGTTGTGATATGAGTATCTTTTAGGCTTTTAATTCAATAAATACTATAATGCTTTGGAATTAATTGATTTTGATGTTATTAAGTATTTAAGTATTTTGATATTAAGGAACAAGTATTTTTTTGTAGTGTATGAATATTATAGCATACAAAGTTTTATTTCTTTTAAACCGCTAGTCACAGATTTTTTTTTTATTTTATTTATTCATTCATTTATTTATTTTTCTTTTTAAGAGAGGGTTTTTTTTTTTTTTTGCTATAGGGTGCGTGCGCTCGCCAGACAGACAGAGAGATAGAAAGCGAGAAATCACCCCCAGGGGGGATGGCCACACCGCAATCCCTTCTCCTCCATTCTCCTCTCAGGATCTTGGGCATGCACACACATGCACCCAGTGTGAGTTTTAAGCCACCGGGTCCCGGACTTGAGCCGTGGTCGACTACGTGGGAGTCCAGCGACATAGCCATTACGCTAACTGCTGGTCCTGCTAGTCACAGATTTCTGGTATAGCAGTTCCTGGAAGGAATAGCTTAATGGATATAGGTATACTTATATGTATTTTTAACAACAACAAAAAAGAAAGCTGCCTTAGGAGTAAATCCATTTTTGTTCTGGGCCAGCAGATGACATGTTAGTTGAGGCGGTGGATTCCCACATGGCTGTCTATGTTTTGGTCCTGGACCTAGAGGCTTGAAAATCATGCCAGGCGTGTGTGCATGTACCCAGAATCCCAAGAGAGTGGAGGAGAAGGGACTGAGGCATGGCCATCACCCCTAGGGGGCGACTCGCTTTCCTTCTCTGTCTCTCTCTGTCTGTGGTGAGCACACACACCCTGTGGCAAAAAAAAAAAAAAAAAAAAAAAAAAAAACT